TTTTTTTTTTCGGGCGAAAATTAATAAGTTTCTCCAATCTTCCCAAAACTCTGGATTCTGATAGAGGGCCACGAGACTTAGACCTAAGTGCAAAAATGGAGGCTCTAGCCCCTTCCAGAGCTGAGATATCGAAACTCAAAAATTCGGCCCGAAAAAAAAACGACAGTGGTACCCCTTACTTTTTTTTTCGGGCGAAAAATTTAAGTTTCTCCAATCTTTCCCAAAACCTGGATTCTGATAGAGGGCCATGAGACTTAGACCTGAGTGCAAAAATGGAGGCTCTAGCCCCTTCCAGAGCTGAGATATCGAAACTCAAAAATTCGGCCCGAAAAAAAACGACAGTGGTACCCCTTACGTTTTTTTTTTCGGGCGAAAAATTAAGTTTCTCCAATCTTCCCAAAACTCTGGATTCTGATAGAGGGCCATGAGACTTAGACCTGAGTGCAAAAATGGAGGCTCTAGCCCCTTCCAGAGCTGAGATATCGAAACTCAAAAATTCGGCCCGAAAAAAAAACACGACAGTGGTACCCCTTACGTTTTTTTTTTCGGGCGAAAAATTAAGTTTCTCCAATCTTCCCAAAACTCTGGATTCTGATAGAGGGCCATGAGACTTAGACCTGAGTGCAAAAATGGAGGCTCTAGCCCCTTCCAGAGCTGAGATATCGAAACTCAAAAATTCGGCCCGAAAAAAAAACGACAGTGGTACCCCTTACGTTTTTTTTTTTCGGGCGAAAAATTAAGTTTCTCCAATCTTCCCAAAACTCTGGATTCTGATAGAGGGCCATGAGACTTAGACCTGAGTGCAAAAATGGAGGCTCTAGCCCCTTCCAGAGCTGAGATATCGAAACTCAAAAATTCGGCCCGAAAAAAAAAACGACAGTGGTACCCCTTACGTTTTTTTTTTTTTTCGGCGAAAAATTAAGTTTCTCCAATCTTCTCAAAACTCTGGATTCTGATAGAGGGCCATGAGACTTAGACCTGAGTGCAAAAATGGAGGCTCTAGCCCCTTCCAGAGCTGAGATATCGAAACTCAAAAATTCGGCCCAAAAAAAAACGACAGTGGTACCCCTTACGTTTTTTTTTCGGGCGAAAAATTAAGTTTCTCCAATCTTCCCAAAACTCTGGATTCTGATAGAGGGCCATGAGACTTAGACCTGAGTGCAAAAATGGAGGCTCTAGCCCCTTCCAGAGCTGAGATATCGAAACTCAAAAATTCGGCCCGAAAAAAAAAAACGACAGTGGTACCCCTTACGTTTTTTTTTTTTCGGGCGAAAAATTAAGTTTCTCCAATCTTCCCAAAACTCTGGATTCTGATAGAGGGCCATGAGACTTAGACCTGAGTGCAAAAATGGAGGCTCTAGCCCCTTCCAGAGCTGAGATATCGAAACTCAAAAATTCGGCCCGAAAAAAAAACGACAGTGGTACCCCTTACGTTTTTTTTTTTCGGGCGAAAAATTAAGTTTCTCCAATCTTCCCAAAACTCTGGATTCTGATAGAGGGCCATGAGACTTAGACCTGAGTGCAACAATGGAGGCTCTAGCCCCTTCCAGAGCTGAGATATCGAAACTCAAAAATTCGGCCCGAAAAAAAAACGACAGTGGTACCCCTTACGTTTTTTTTTTTCGGGCGAAAAATTAAGTTTCTCCAATCTTCCCAAAACTCTGGATTCTGATAGAGGGCCATGAGACTTAGACCTGAGTGCAAAAATGGAGGCTCTAGCCCCTTCCAGAGCTGAGATATCGAAACTCAAAAATTCGGCCCGAAAAAAAAAACGACAGTGGTACCCCTTACGTTTTTTTTTTTTTTCGGCGAAAAATTAAGTTTCTCCAATCTTCCCAAAACTCTGGATTCTGATAGAGGGCCATGAGACTTAGACCTGAGTGCAAAAATGGAGGCTCTAGCCCCTTCCAGAGCTGAGATATCGAAACTCAAAATTCTGCCCGAAAAAAAACGACAGTGGTACCCCTTACGTTTTTTTTTTTCGGGCGAAAAATTAAGTTTCTCCAATCTTCCCAAAACTCTGGATTCTGATAGAGGGCCATGAGACTTAGACCTGAGTGCAAAAATGGAGGCTCTAGCCCCTTCCAGAGCTGAGATATCGAAACTCAAAAATTCGGCCCGAAAAAAAACGACAGTGGTACCCCTTACGTTTTTTTTTTTTTCGGGCGAAAAATTTAGTTTCTCCAATCTTCCCAAAACTCTGGATTCTGATAGAGGGCCATGAGACTTAGACCTGAGTGCAACAATGGAGGCTCTAGCCCCTTCCAGAGCTGAGATATTGATATATTTATAAGGGCATAAATGCTACGTGGGATCTCAATATCTCAGCTCTGGAAGGGTCTAGAGCCTCCATTTTGGCACACAGGTCTAAGTCCCATGGCCCTCTATCAGAATCCAGAGTTTCAAGAAGATCAGAGAAACTCAAAATTTCGCCGCTGTTTTATGGTGTTAGATCTATCCTAGTACCCTTGTTATAAATCATTCACCTTCTACCTTATTTTGTTTATTCTCAGGTAAAGTAAAGAAGGTTGAATTCTACAATAGATAATAAGTACACAAATTCATACTTACACCCCAGTAGAAAGACCCCACCGTGGCTAAGTTCTTTACCGCAAGCAGTGACTCTTGGCAGGCAAAGTTTTTTTTTATCTATTATTTGTATTTTTATAGTATAAAGTTTTCCAAAGTTTTTCGTTCAAACAGGTTAACAAAATTAGTTCAATAAATGAAGTTCACAATGGAGAGTCTGGTCCAGTTTCTAGAGTCTAACCTCATACATTTCAATGTACTTTTTATAATACATTTACATGTCACACCTCTTTCAAGTCATATGCACAATCTGTCCAATCCTAGACCTGGATCCATATTTAACTCTTTCAGTCCCTTCAACAATCTCGGCGTTCTTTAGCTTGATCTTCCTTCTCCTCACACGGTTTCTCAGCATCCTTCGCCTTTTAGTCTGGAACACAACATTAAGGTAATACATTTTTTCTTTTACTACCTACATGCATAATACTGGTTCCATTCCA